TGGAAACAAACAGAAAAATTAGTGTGTGTCTTGTCCTACCCTTATACTGTCACCCTAAAGTTACAAGCTGAAGATTTGACACCTGGAAATTTTTTCTTACAGTGGAAAACTTTGATGCATCAGCTCGACAAAACTGGAGGAATTGTTGCTAATGCTATTTTATCTTCAATGAGAAAAAGAGAGATTCAGTTGTTAGACAATAAAATCTTGTTAGCCGCTATTTACGTTGATCCAATGAATCGAATTTTACTAAATGATAATCAAATTGCCTCAGGGAAAGAAAAACTTCGTGAAATTGCTATTCGCTTGAAAAAGTTGCCGTTACCTTACATTTATGAATCAAAAGATGAAAATAAAAATAGTGAATGTAATGACAACTCGGCATCATCATCTCCAAAAAAAGAGCTTGATTTCGAAGCATATTTAGATAGTTTAGAACGTCTCAAAGTGAAGCAAAGACATTTAAAAAATCAAGAAACTAAACTGGCAGAAATTGAACAAATAAAATTTGAACAAAATTTTTTAAATGGGCTAATTGAAATAGAAAAGTATGACCGTTTATCAAAATTGAACGTAGAAGAAGCTATTTCAATTTATCCAGAAATTATTCGCGATGCAGCTAGATCTGTCACAGCAATGCCCCCAACACAAGTCAGTGTGGAAAGATTATTTTCAGCTTTGAAAATAATTAAAGCTGATTTAAGGGCATCTATGAAAGAAGATTTAATTGAAGCTATTTTGTTTCTTAGAACCATTTTATAAAATTCAAAATTATAAATGTAATTTAGTTTTTTTTTTATTTAAGTGAAAATATAAAATAAATTTTCTTATTAATTTTTAAAAATGTTTTGTATTTTGTTATAATTCATTTATTTTAAATACAAAATGCAGCAATTTAATTTATTAAATATGTAGTATTTGTGTTTAGTGTCAATAGTTAAATTATTTTGACCCAATTGAACTTGAATGTTTTTAAATCATTCTTTTAATATCTCTGCTCTAAATAAATACTGTATTCTATTTTTCTGAATGAGCCAGACTAAGTGATCAAAGTATATATTTTTCTTTTCTGAACAAGGGGCTGAAATAACTAGATCACACACTTTTTATTTGGACTAATTTTTCTGCAAGGATAAAATTGAAGTGCATATGCTGTAGAACAGTGGTTCCCAATTAATTTTTCCTGCGTACCACTTCAAGAAAGAGCTCAAACTCGCGTACCCCTTATAGCAGAAATTCATATTAATCCATACTAATATTCTAAATTCGAAGGTAATTCTGCCTGTCTGTCTGTTACCTTTTCACGTCTAAACCGCCAAACAGGTTTTAATAAAATTTGGCACAGAAATAGNTAGTGTATATTTTTTTTTGTTTTTATATTTTTCAATATATTTATTTTGTTTGTACAAAATAAAAAAGTAATTTTTAACGATACAATAGTCACAATTATTATTTTAGATAGTTTTTGTTAGGCTTAACATCGACGAAAATTCAACGCGAAGCGACACGCAGCGGAGAAAAATTTCAACACGGGATAGGTTAATATATTTTTTTCGTACATAATTGGTTATCTGAACAACCCCGGTCCCCAATTGGTTTGGATAAACGACGCTCTACTGTACTTATAGATTTCAATGTTAAACTAGTGATATTACAATTTAGTATGTCCCATCTATAAGGGGATGCAAAAAAAATCCTTGTATAATGTTAAAAAATTAACTGTTACTTTGGCAGCATTATTTACAACTAAATTTTAATGAATGAGATGCACAAGGTACAAGAAAAGCTCTAAAATTTATTTTTCTTAAATTTACAATTTGTGTGTCCATTGTCATAAAAATATCTCTTTCTGCTTTTTCCCAAGACTACAAGTATTCAAGTACAAAGTAACCAGTTTCAAATTATAAATATTTCTACTTAAGAAGTAGTTAAATAATTAAGAGATTAGGAAATTGGGGACATAAATAAATTCCTGCTGAAAGAGCCGGAATTTTACTTAAACAAAAGCTTAACCAAACCAATCTCTAGCCAAGTACAGTGGGGACTGATTTCTTCATAATATTAGATGAAATGAAGACAGAAATTTTTCCAGTTCAATGAGAGTGACCAAAAAGTTGTAAATTTTGGAAATTTCCATGGACACCTTCTCCTAAAATGAATTAGTTAGAAAACAAATGACTCTTAAGTTTAACATATTTAGATTTTTACAGCTATGGTGAGAAACGTTTAACATCTACAACAACCCTGTCGCGTCCTTTGAGATATACTAGTGATGCGACAAAAGAGGTATTTGACATTGACTGGTATCAGTACCCTGTGGATTTGGCAGTCTGTGTGTATGCATGCACTGCAATTGTTTCTGATTCCATCCATTAGCTCAGTGTTTTCCAACCTTTTTCATTGAGTGGCATCCCTAATTGAAAAATAAAAAATCGTGACACCTTCGACCAGCGGCAGATCTAGAATCTGAATAAGGGGGGACTAATGGGCCAGATGAATTTTTTGCGAAAATGAATATTACGCGCAACACAAAAGTGTTTCTACATGTTCAAAATCAAAATTTAAGTCCATTGAATTTTGTCGAAATACCTACATGCAAAATAATAGTCTCGTTATTGTTTTTTAAATATAGTTTTATTATCAAATATATCATCATTTTATATTATCATTTTATTTATAAACAATTTTTCTTAAGTTTTTTTATACTATTTTGATGCGTATACAGTGGTACCTCAGGATACGAAATTAATTTGTTGCGAAACTGAGATCATATCATGAAAATGTCGTAAGGTGAATCATTTTTTCCCATACGATTACATGTAAAACCAAATAATTTGTTCCAACACGAAAAACACACTCAAATTAAAGCTAAGTTGTACATTAAAAAAACAATAAATATAGTAAGGAAAACACTGAAAAATGCATTTTGTATTTGTAAATGTATAAATAACCATAATAGAATAATAATTGATTTAAAAAATGTAGTTTTATTTGAACTTTAACTTTGAGGATAGATGACGGTGGAGGTGTAAACTGGTGGCGGAGGAGAGGGAGAAGGGAAACGATACTAAAACTTAACTTACATAACATAATGTAACAATAACTTAAAAATAACTTAGAAAAGATTTTAAAAATGAGTGTTGTTTTATATATATATTTTTTTTTAATTTTTATTCACTGCTTTCTGCTTTCTTTCCTTTAATTCCACCAACACTTTCACTGGATAGAGGTCGCTTGGTAAAATATCTAATCAAAGAGGTTTGGCTTTGCCTACTTTTTAAAATTTTTCTAAAATGACTTAGGCAAGTGTCATTACTCCGAGCAGCAATACGGTCAATATGAATCTTTTTGGGATGTTTCTTTTCAATAAAATCAGTCACTTTCTGTTAATACCTCAAGATTTCCTTTATCGAGCGAGATCCTTCCACGACAAAGCAAATGCGCCAACTGAGATCAACTAACAGAAGTGAATAAAAAATGGCACTGCGAATTAATGTAACGTCGTATGGTGAGTTTTTGTTCGTGTCATGGAGCAAAAATATGTTCGAATTTCATGTCGTATCCTGAAAATTTCGTATGCTGGGGAGTTCGTATCCTGAGGTACCACTGTATAAAATAAATATTTCATTACTTTTTTCATATCCTTTTCATATCAGTTTAAAAAATTTCAATTAAGAAAATGATAAAAATTGTTTATTTGTCATCATTGTTTTTGAATACTATGAAAATACTGTAATATGCACCTACTTTGTGATTGAAACCACACACTTTTCAAAGTACAGTGCAACGCTTTTTAAAGTATACGCAAGACACAAGTGTCCACATCATTTTTCTCTGGTAGTTGGCCTGTACTGGGACTGGGAACGTGAAGGCCAAGCAATGTGGTTTGGGCAAACTCATGACAAGTTGTGTGTACACGTAGCGTAGAACATTACATTAACATGCGATTAGTGAAAGTTTCTTTGCTTACTAGATAACTCGTAGCAAAATAGAACTGACAATGAGTTATCTTGAACTACACTTAAGTAAATTTCCAAGAAAATGCCTAAAGGCTCTAAACTTTGTGACACCCCAATCGTGGCGCCGTGGCACCCCGGTTGAAAAACACTGCAATTGGTGCGAAATTTTTTCGCTAGCGAAAGAGCTAGACAGTACTGAACTTCGAAGTGATTCGCAAAATGGTAAAATTCGCCGGAAACGATGTCGTGTCTGACGTGTTATTCACTCTGTTTTTCGCTTTCGCTAGCATATCATGTTCAGTGTGAACTAAGCTTAACTCTAAACACACAGTGAATTGTTGACCTTTCTTTTGGGGTGGCCAAAATTTTTTATCGAGCTATTCAGACTTGAGTAGCTAATATTGAAAGATTGATCACAGGCCACATAAATTCATTATACTGGCCTGATCTGGCCTGCGGGCTGTATGTTGGCCATGCCTGCCCTAGACTGTCACTGACACGCAATTAACTGATTGCCCCTGGAAGTCTGCTTCTTACAGAAACACAGCTTCCCTATCATCAAATGTCACAGCATGCCACTGCTATCTTATCTGCTATAATGGAACATAATTCTACAAAACTAAAAAAATGGATTAATATAAACATGAAAAGTGAATGTATTTTGAAATTCATAGGATGAGATTTATGATTCTTGGAGATGTTTAATTCAATTTAAGTTTTATCATTTTCCTCAACAGGTTACTATGGGTGATTCAGAGTTTGTAGACTAGGTTAGGATTGGGTGATTCAGAGTTTGTAGACTAGGTTAGGATTGGGTGATTCATTTTGGAGAATTGTAATGTTATTGGTCTGTCTGATACATTTATGTTTTTATGTTTTGTTTGCGTTTGTGTTATTTTATTCTCAGAGTCACATAATTATAGTTTTCAATTTTTTTAGAAATAAAAACAGTTGCAGAAAGTATTATAAAATTCTTTGTGCCTAATAAAATGAAAAATGCTTGTTGACATTATGTTAACATTAGTATTTTAATTTTTTCAGACACTGTCAAAGAGAATACAATTACCAGTACAAAAAAATACGGTTTGAAAAAGGAACGTAGAAAACATCAAAAGAAAACAATTTGTAATAAATTAAATTTAAAAGATAAGAAAATACATTCAGTTGTTGGTAAGTCATATGATTATATCATAATTTGTTTTTTAAATACGACACTTTTCTGAGATATTACTGAAATTGTATCTTTAAAGCATGAAAATTTGAAAGATTAACTGATCTTAAGATTACTAAGTTCCAATGATAAATTTCTAAGCAATTAAACAGCATTCTATAATGATTGATTAAGTTCTTATTGTTACAGATAATGATGCTCAAGTTTTTTGTTGTTTAGAATTGTCTGTTATTTATTGTAATATAATTACTAATATGTTACTTAGTAAGTTTGCACTTTTTTTTTTACTAAATACATATTAAATTCTAAATTATTTTATGAACCTGACATTGAAAATAAATTATTCATGCTGTGAATTATTTCTTTAGGAAAGGAACATCAATCCACACCAATGCTTACCAGACCATCTTTATTTCATCAATGTCTTATTTGCATTTCCTGGGATACATTATTTTCCTACTTGTTTTTAATAGAACTTTTTTATCTGTATAACAAGTAAAACAGCAAAACCGTATTTGGGACAAGACTATGTCTTGGAGACGGAATTACTTTGATGCTCAAAGCAGTTCTCGTTCTCATTCTCCTATCTTCTTTGATATCGCTGCTTTTGGGCGCAGTCATTCAAACTTTGCTGGCCATGACCACGATATTGTCCACGATGCATCTTCGATGAAATTAACCTATCTAATTTCAAAATTTCTCTGTTGCGTGTCGGCCTGGTTGAATTTTTGTCGATGCATAATGAAAAGTTCCTGTTTTTGAAAAAAATAGTCATGGCTATTGTATCGTCTGAAATTATTCTTTTATTTTGCACAAACAATATACAGTTTAACCCAATTATAATGTCATCGAATGTAACGACAACCCTAATATAACGTCAAATTTTTATTGGTTCTACGATTTTACTATACTAGATAATATTAAAAAACAACACACTTATAACGACATAAAACCGTTTTAACGTCATATTTGAAGCACTCCCAAATTTACAAAATTAGATCACAAATTTTATTTAACATAGAAGAAACTGTGTTCAGTCCTAAGGTTAGAGTTCACTTCTTAGAATGACTGTGGGTGGTACTCTCTCCTACCTGACTTCGGTGGGTTGAGGTGGCTGTTTGTAGAAGAGGGTCGCCATTTTGTATTTTATTTTGACTCGATTCTCAGTCCCCTGACTACCTACGAGTCTGGATTTTTTATGCACAAATGATTTGGGCACCTAATACTCTGTGCCAAATATCAACTCTCGACATGTACTCCTTCATACCTCTATGTGGGTAAAAAAATCGGGCAGTACGATTTTATAAACAAGACATAGTCTTGTCAATAACAAAGTTTAGTCTTTTTATTTACAATGCATCTCTGCAGTAAGTTTGTGTGAAACAGTAGTAAATTTAAATTATTATTTCAGCAATCTAATGGTGCTGTTTTTTCCCAAACTTATTGCAGAAGTCGTTGTGATAAGTTTGGGAAAAACAAAACATTACTATTAGGTTGCTGAAATAATAATTTAATACATATCCAAACAAGAAGCTAAATGAAGAGTAATAAATTTGTTAAAATTTGTTTATTCTTTCTTCTGGATTATTAAATTAAAGGAATTACTTATTTGAAAGTATTTTTTCAGAATTGTTGGATGACTAAATTTCCCATTTTATTCATATTCTGCCAAACATGTGTTTGTTGTTACTTTTTCCCTCCTTTTTTCTTGGTGATGCAGTGTTTTTGCTTGATGTAGAGATGTCTTATTTACAAAAATTTTTTCCAGCTATTGTATATTTCTATGCTGTTATTATTATTTAAGTTACTACCAGTTTTTGATATGTACACACTTTCTTTAAATATTCTTATGTACGAGGTATATGTCTTTTTCATGATCAAAGATTTTTACATTCTTTTTATCTGTTTTGCAGTTATTAACAGTAGTGTTCATAAAATGTGGAATTCTGTTTGTATTTTAATTCAGCTTCATGTTCTTTAAATTGCAGTAGTAATTTTTTTTATTTCACCTGTATAAAGAGTTTTTACACGTGCAACAGATACTGTATTCTATATTTGATCTTTCCCAAAATTGTATTAAAAAATAGAAAAATAATATATCCTAGGAATTTCCATACTGAAAAAGAGAAGAAAGTTCTCAAAGTGTATATATGGCATTGACAAAATAAAGATGGTCTGATAAGGTAAAGCATTGGTGTGGATTAATGTTTCTTTCCTAAGAAATAATTTACATTATCTGTAATAGGACAATTAGGGTGGATGGCAGCTTTTATTGGCAACTTGCATATTCATTAACAGAACTGTAAACAGTTATAAATTCTGGTGCAAATTATTTAATATGTTTTTGACCTTATTCAAAAGCCTTCATCTGGCTACATTACTTTGAACATCCAATGCACTCACAGAATGTCTATGTATTGATAACTGAAATTGAATGATTTGATTTGCTAAATAAAACTATAAATAACATTCAGAATTTTTTGACAAAACAGTAACTTTATATCATTTACAAAACAAACTACTATTGAAATTTTGTCTTTACTTTCTTAAAATATCTTAAATTTTGAGTAAATGTTCTTGTCTTTGTAAGTTGTTGCAAATTTTATAATACTGTATGTTGAAATAAAGATTGTAAATGACAGTCTCTGTTTTGTGACTACTTTTGATTTTCTCCTAGATTGTTCACAAATGAGAGGTTTTTACTATAATTTTATAGTAAATCAAATTATCTAATAATAATCAAATGATAATGTGCAACCAAGGGGACTGAAGCGGAGAGCTTCTCCCCACTTACCGGCTTGGCTGTCAGAGAATGGCTATAGGAGGGCTAAAGATATGAGTGGAGAGGAGTAATGAGTCGTGATCAGGTGTCCAAAAGACTACACAGGTTTAAATAAATAACACATTTACTAAAACATTAAATAATTATACATAGAGATAATAAATTTAACACTCGCATATCGAGATATAAATATGTATTTTAAAATCTAACCTATCCTAATGCCTGAAGATCGAGAGAGAGTTTTCACGTTGGAGAGAGAGATAATTATGGCAAGGGTTTACCTCGTAGGAAACGCTCTCATGCTATAGGGCGTTGATAAAACACTCTGTGATCGTTGTCTTCTAATCCGAGGTGTCCTTTGAAAGCTATGTGGAGTGATGTCCTTCTCAGGTCGTGCAGCTATGTCCAGATGCGGTGTATGCTCCGTCGCTCCTAATCTGTAGAGAGTTCTTCCTGGTGAAGTTCTCTCGGAGGTTTCTTCTGTTAACCTCTTTGAGGAGTAATTCCGTCGTATATGGAGAGAATAGAAAATATTCAAAGTCTTTTTACCTTTTCATGGAGCGGCGATTATGAGCTTCGTAGATCCTGAGAGTGCTGGAAGAGTAGTCCACTGCGTTCTCTTCCCCCGACGATCGCTGTCGATGTGACATATCGTTCCCCTTTTATACCCTTTTAGCATGGGAAATCTCGGGGACTCCGTTGACGCAATATGTCAGTTCTCCCGATTTATGAGTCTCCCCCGTCGTGGGTGACGACATTATTGGCATCGTTTGACCAATTAATATCAAATGCGTCATCACCTGGGGAGATGACTGACCATTTTTGGTAATGTTTCTCACCGCAAAGTTGACCCTTGTAGGTGACCTCTTGTCTACTTTCGCCACAGGAACACATGTCTGTTTTTGTTAATTGGTCATATCGCAGACACCTTATAATAGAGTAGACTCCTGGGGAGAGGGGATTTCTTCCGCGGTCGCCTCGGACAACTTCGTCCATCAAGAAGGTCATTTTCAGAAACTACGCACTTCATTGTCCGGGGTCTGTTCTTCAGGCAACGGGGTGAGAACGGGAGAAATAACGTAAATATTGATGAAAGAAATATACAACTTCATTCCGAAGTTAAAAAGATTCTCATAAGAGAGTCAGATTTTCACAATAACATCTTACACTCTCCTCGAGGACACTGGAGTGTGTAATGGAATGAGGTATGAAGATACTTTTATTTTTGAGTTTCAGTGTGAATATATCATTGCTTTTTATAGTTCCATATAAACTAATTACTTTGTAAACATGGTTCTAAGGCATAAGGATACTTCCTTATGTCTTGGAACCATGGAGAGTGTAAGATGTTATTGTGAAAATCTGATAAGTCAAAGAAAAGTCATGAATGTTTACTTTAAAGGAAAAATTAAAATTTTAAATTTAGTCAGAAAAGTCTGCTTCCAAAAATTTTTGAAGTTTTTATGATTTATGGCATCATGCTATCTATTATAAATATGATGTTTATTTGCCTCATTTATAACAAAAATTTGTGTGATAGGTATGTTAGTATAGGAAATATTTAATTATTAATGGGGTTTGCTATTTTACATGAATTTTGCTTACACAAGAGGTTTTGGAATGTATTAGTCACATATGGCAGGGTCCTATTGTGAATAGTCTATTTAGTATTTGATATTTTAACTGAAATCTTTCAGGTATAGCAGTTTTGATATTTTTTTATATTTTTTATTAAGTTAAAATTCTTAATAATCATCTAATTTTATTTATAGATGAACTCAAGAAGAAGAAAACACAAGACCAAACAGAAAATAATTTATACATTATAGAAAGACTTTCAAATAAAAAAATCAGTTCAAAAGTAGTTGAGAAAGTGAGTTTTATTTCTAATTTCTCTTCTTAAGAAAAGTTCATAAATATTACTTATTTATTTGAATAATATAAATTATTGTACTTTCAGTAAACATATTTTGAATCATTTTACTGACATGGAATATTAGCTTTATACATAAATTGCTTTTTGCTTTTGATTTTGTCTGTTTTTCTCCTCTGTGTATATTCTAATGATTAAATTAAAGCATAGATTAGGCATATCAATGTAAAAAATTTTACTAGTGGTCTGTTTTTTGTTGTTGTTGTTTATACATACAGGTAAGAATTAAATAAGTATCTGGATGTTGGAAAATCACCTGGAAAGAAAAATACAAGCATCATAAAACAGTCTTCACTTTTTAAGAGAGGTTTATAATGTAAATTCCTTAACATCATCATCCATAAAATTTTTTATTATTTCTTTTTTCTCCTTTACATATGTCAAGAAGAATATTCCTATAGATTTTGTGTGTAATATTTTATGCGGGGATAACTTTCAAAAAATTATTTTAAACATTTAAAGAAATGAGTATATGATTAATTAAATTGCTTCAATGTCCTTTTTTCCTTATTATACTGGTATAACCAGTATAATAAGTCCTGATAATAGAAGATAGTCGAATTTATTGTCGAAAATTTACATATTAAATGAGTATATGGTTGATTAAATTGACACACTAAATCAGGCAAGCATATTCTGTCCAGTTTTTGTTACAACTTCAATAGATATTTTCAGTTTATTATTTCAATAATTTTTTCTTCTTCCTCTTCTTATATTAAATGCACCATCTGCTGTGGTTGGTAGAGAGTGATTTTCTTTGATAGTATCCTAATAGCATCCTTTGTAATGGAAGAATACTATCAAAGAGAATCAGTATCTCCTCTCTTCTTTATTAGTAATGAGAAGTGCTATTTCACATAGTGAGGTCCTTTTCATTTACTTATATAAAACATGTTTTGAATTACTTCAGCATATCTTCAAATACACCTTAAACTCTACTCTTTCAATAGAAAACTTATTTGAAAACAAACTTCCAGTAGAACTTACAATTTTTGAAATTTTAATTTTATGTAATACTAATTTCTGAATTTAAACAACCTAGACTTCAAATTTTAAATTTCAGTAAAAGTATTAAGCTTTACATCACAAAGTTTAATTCTTGTTAAACCTAACAACATTCCATGTTATTTCTATTTTTGGTCCTTATTCAGCTTTTTCAATAACTTTGGCTTCCTCCCACTGTGGTATTCACACTTCTATTTATGGAGTCATACTTTCCTATTTATATGGTACTCTTACTTTTTGAGAGGGTTTGCTGACACAGAAAATTGAATTTTTCATGTTACTCTAAAATTTCTACAGTTTGCAGTTTATTCCTCTTAAATGCCATGTTTCAACCTTTAGAGATTCAGTTCTAATTCAGTGTACTGTTTCCTTTTCCATATCTTAGTTATTTTCAAATTATCAATCTAGAATCAATATCTTGATTCTCTGAGCAGTCTGATTCATCATCTCTTGGTGAGTTGATAGGTGTTGCAATCTGCATTCATGTCTTGAGATAACCTTATGGAAGATTGCTTGTATTCTTTCATTTGTTAATTTTTCAATATTGAAAATAAAAGTAATTTTATGTAATGAGTATTTTTGGTTTGCAATTTGAGAAAATTGTAGACTTATAAATTCCCACTGTTGCCCATCCATTTGTCTATTTTTCCTTAATCTCAAGAATGGAGTTTAGATAGATGAAAGATGAGACCAGATATAGAAACTTTAGGGGCAGGAGATCCCGATTAATTGTATACGAACTTCCAATGCAAACCAAAATTCACATTATTTCAATTCAAAAATTTCCCCTGGAAGGAGTTAGATAGATGACCCGCACAACCTGTTGTTAAAGGAAAAGTATAATATACAGGGGCAAGCCACTACTAATTTGAGATCGAGAGAATATATTTTGTCTTGCCCCTNTAAACAGAGTTAATTAATGTGAAAAAAAATTAAGTTCGATTCAGTGTTTATGATTAAAAGTGAGATTTACCTAATACGCATTTGGAATATTCAGAAATGTTATGTTCAGAGCATTAATTAAATAAATCATAAAGAAATGAACAGCATTAATAATAATCCAAAATTACATAAGTTTGTATACTTGAATGAATTTCACTTACATATGGGAAATGATTTCTCGAGAAATTGTATCATTTGAATACCATTTTTTCATAATATTAAAACGATAGCCAATACCCTTAGAGGAAAGAAAGAAAGAAAAAAAAGTGTTTTGTATTTAATATCAATTATTTGTTAATTTTGAACTCAGTTTAGTTACACCACAACAAAACAACGTCACATCCATTCACTGGATAAAACAATTTCTTTAAATATGTGTTATATGTATGTATAATCTACTATTCTCTTATAAACTGCATCTAATTTCATATATTACTTCGTATAAACAAACCTGAATGATTCTTGATTTGCCAATGTCCATAGACAACATAAAAGCTGTTTTTGAGGAGACATGGGTCGTCTTCCAGAGGAAGTAATTTTTCGGTGTCTATAATTGGGCTTATTTTTTAGAGGATAATTTCAAAACATTCTCTTGTAAGTCTAAGGTTGTTTAAAATCAGTTGGCTTATAAAAAGGTAGTAAAATAAAAGTTTCTATCTTTTTTATTTTACCCTACTTTTCTTTTTTCATTTTTCTACAATTATATCCACAGTAAAATCATCATCGTCCGATTTGGAATCAAGTAGTTATATCTGTAACGTAACATTTAAAATAGCAGCTTTGACAATATTATTTTCAGGAAACTGCCATATTTGTTGTTAGCGTTCGCGTTTACTTTCGAACTGGACATGTAAGCACGAATACACATGCTAATGACGTCACTTCCGGTGTTCGGAAGTAGCACTATTAGCTCAGAAGTAAACGCATCCATAATGACTTTGTATTTAATTTTGCCGGAGTCGGAGTTGGCCTACTAAAATTATCCGGAGTCGGAGTCGGGTGTTTTTTTACTGACTCCGCAGCTCTGGTTGACAGGAGTTTTAAAAAACCCATTAAAATGTTTGATATATTTATTCTGTTTTTATTATGCTCTCCCATTTTGTATTACAGTAGAGCGTCGTTTATCCGAAAGAATTCGTAGGCAAATTTAAATTTTCGCTAGTGCTGTGGCGCTGCAATCTTTGGCTATATCTTGGACTACTCCAATATTGTTTTTGTTGGTGTGTGTGTTTTAGCTGGCAGCACTGACACTTTTGGGTTAAAGTCCAGATACGTATACCGTCATGGCGGCACTTCCTGTTTTCCGACTGCTAGCCTCGATCCCGGCGCGGTTTGGAGACGAGCGCTGTCACGTGACGACGCGAGCGCTCGCGCGTTCTGCTAGTGCGGCTGGTTCAAATTTTCGACGGGTTGGTCGTTTTTTGCATTACGTTCGACTTTCGCACAGATGGATTTCGGTAATTTGACGTCGACTGGTTTCTTTCGTCACCAAATTATTAGAATAGGTTAGGTTAGAACGTGCGTCCCCACTGTTTCCTTTCTTTTGTTTCACGGCGGCTCATCTCTGATTCCAGCAAATAGTGGGGACGCACGTTCTAACCTAACCTATTCTAATAAATTACCGTAATTATTACCAACCAAATTATTAGGATAGGTTAGGTTAGAACGTGCATCCCCACTGTTTTCTTTCTTTTGTTTGCTGGAATCAGAGATGAGCCGCAATGATGGTATACGTATCTGGACTTTGACTGTTATTTTTGTACGTTTTTGTTAAAAAATTGTTTAGAGCGATTTTTTTCGAATTTGCGTTTGTTTCCCCCCCTTTATCGTGGCAGCTCCGCCGCCGCCGCCGCTTTTCGTTCGCTCGCGTCGTCACGTGACAGCGCTCGTCTCCAAACCGCGCCGGGGTCGAGGCTAGCAGTCGGAAAACAGGAAGTGCCGCCATGACGGTATACACATCTGGACTTTAACCCACTTTTGTGTGGTGGTGTTTCTGAGGACTGTGTCGTGCTGAATCGAATGTTTTTGATACTGGATCAACTTCTAAAGTATATATATATATTTTTTTGTTTTTATATTTTTCAATATATTTATTTTGTTTGTACAAAATAAAAAAGTAATTTTTAACGATACAATAGTCACAATTATTATTTTAGATAGTTTTTGTTAGGCTTAACATCGACGAAAATTCAACGCGAAGCGACACGCAGCGGAGAAAAATTTCAACACGGGATAGGTTAATATATTTTTTTCGTACATAATTGGTTATCTGAACAACCCCGGTCCCCAATTGGTTTGGATAAACGACGCTCTACTGTACTTATAGATTTCAATGTTAAACTAGTGATATTACAATTTAGTATGTCCCATCTATAAGGGGATGCAAAAAAAATCCTTGTATAATGTTAAAAAATTAACTGTTACTTTGGCAGCATTATTTACAACTAAATTTTAATGAATGAGATGCACAAGGTACAAGAAAAGCTCTAAAATTTATTTTTCTTAAATTTACAATTTGTGTGTCCATTGTCATAAAAATATCTCTTTCTGCTTTTTCCCAAGACTACAAGTATTCAAGTACAAAGTAACCAGTTTCAAATTATAAATATTTCTACTTAAGAAGTAGTTAAATAATTAAGAGATTAGGAAATTGGGGACATAAATAAATTCCTGCTGAAAGAGCCGGAATTTTACTTAAACAAAAGCTTAACCAAACCAATCTCTAGCCAAGTACAGTGGGGACTGATTTCTTCATAATATTAGATGAAATGAAGACAGAAATTTTTCCAGTTCAATGAGAGTGACCAAAAAGTTGTAAATTTTGGAAATTTCCATGGACACCTTCTCCTAAAATGAATTAGTTAGAAAACAAATGACTCTTAAGTTTAACATATTTAGATTTTTACAGCTATGGTGAGAAACGTTTAACATCTACAACAACCCTGTTGCGTCCTTTGAGATATACTAGTGATGCGACAAAAGAGGTATTTGACATTGACTGGTATCAGTACCCTGTGGATTTGGCAGTCTGTGTGTATGCATGCACTGCAATTGTTTCTGATTCCATCCATTAGCTCAGTGTTTTCCAACCTTTTTCATTGAGTGGNAGGAAACCATTATTTAGAGATGAAGAAAGTGGATGAAAAAAGGTTAAAATGACTGAAGTGAAACATAAGCATTTAACTGATGCTGCTGTTGGTAAGCTAGGCCAAAAGTTCAAAATATCTCAAACAATATACAATACAAAAACAATAATAACAAACAATAAACATAACCAATAAACATAAACAATATAAAAAACAAAAACATAAACAGTCACAAACAAAGAATGTTGAGATATTAAAGGAACAGAATATTGTTTTCAAGAAAAGAATTTCTGCACCCAAGTACACTGAAACAGTTAGAAAATCAAACAAGGTTAGTCCAACAGCTGAACAAAGAGGATCTACATTCTGAAAAAATTCTGGATGTTCTTACAGATGACAGGTCTTATTTTATACTAGATAACTCAACATACAGCAAATAAAAGTTTTTACTTTGAAAAAGGAAAAGACATTATGCTAGTAGTGAAATGAAGTGCACACAAAGTTTCCAGCATTAGTTATGATGTGTACAGTCATAAGCTCTTGCAGACTATCTTGGGCCCTCATCACATCATCTAAACTTTGCATCAACACAGAAGTATATAGTATGGTGTGCATCAAGAAGAAACTCGTTCCACTTTTAAAGAAGCACTATCTGAATGGAGATTTTCTTTTGACTAGATATGGCAAAATTCCACTATGCTCAAAACACAGTTGTTGTCTTTGATCAACATGGGATATGATACATTCCTTGTGAAATCAATGTGTCTAATGTATCCCCAACTGAAACCAATTGAATGGTTTTGGTACCACCTAAAGCAAAATTATATGGTTGTTTAGGAGGCCAATTCCACTACAGAACTACACAAAAGAATTCAGAATAAGCTCCAGACTACAACTGAAGCTCCTTACAACTAAAGACTTCCAGAATCTTTAGAAACATGTGAAAACAAAAGTTGAAAAGCAGCAGACTATAGAGTAGATTTGATTTTGTTAAACTGACAGATTGCTCAAATATGTTTTCTTTATTTGCATTGCTCATTTTTGTGATCCCACAACACCCAACAAGAATAAATTAGTTTTCATATTTCAGATTTTTAGTTTATACATCCTTAAATATTCTATTGAAAAGTTTTCTTTAACTTGGTTTAAAACTTTTCTTATTGCCTTTGTATGCCACTCAAAAATATCTTAATTGAATTTTTTCCTTTCTTAAGCAAATATAATTATTATTATAATTTAAATTTAAATTAAAAATGCAGATTGTTCTTAAACAATTATTTATGAAATTATCATAAATAATTGACTGATTAATATTTAATATTATATGTAATTTAAATATATTGAGTTTATTTTCAGTTGAGCTGTTATTTCATTGTGTAGTTTTTTTATATATGTTTACAGTTATTGAAAAAGAAATCTAAAAATTCAACAGATAGTCAACAAGACACTGTAGAACAATCAACTGTATTTACTGATGAAGATTTTGAAAACTTTGAAAGAGAATATAATTTAAAATAATTGAATTTATCATGGTAATAAAATTTATAAAAAATCAATCATTTTTTGTTATTTCCAAAATTTATTATATTTTAATATGTAATTAAACTTATCATAATTTTAAAACTGTTATAAAAGAAATTAAATTTTTAAATACAGTATAGCATCATTTATCTGAAAACCGATCAACCAAAACATTGGTGAAAGCAAATTCAAATTTCCATTAGTGCTGTGGTATAGCAGCACTTTCCTTCTCCTGCCAACCAGCCTATGTGACCAAACTTGTCACTTGTGACAAATTGTGCTGTATGTACTGTAGTTGTTGTTTTGTTGCAATGGCAACTAAACGTAAACGCATTGTTCTCAGTGTTTTCGATAAAATTAAAATAATAAACCAGTTGAAGAATGGTGCTAGAGGATCAAGCTTAGCTCGGGAATATGGAGTTGGAAATGCCACAATATCGGACATTAAAAAGAATAGTGATGCCATTATAAAATTTTCAAGTATACTTGATAGTGAAGATGGAAGCGTGTACAGAAAAACAATGAAAATGGCAGAAAACCAGGATTTAGACACTGCAGTTTACATGTGGTACGTGCAGGTACGTAACCAAGGACAACCAATAACTGGCCCTTTGATTTGTAAAAAGGCTCTTGAAATAAACAAGAAACTAGGGGGTAATGATGATTTTAAAGCGACTAACGGCTGGCTTATGCGTTTCAAATCTAGGCACGGAATTAGGCACTTTAACATTCGGGGTGAAAAACTGTCAGCTGATACTGAAATAGCTGAACAGTTGAAAGAGTTTTTTAAAAACATGATTGATCAGAAGGTCTACAAAAAAGCCAATATCTACAATGCAGACGAAACTGGTTTGTACTGGAAGAAAATGCCAACAAAAAGTGTAATTAAAGAATGTTTAATCTTATATACATTTGTAGGCATGTAAAATAAAAATCTGGAGTAATTCATTTTTTCTACATGTGTGCATGTGAAAGGAAATTCAATGTGTAAATTTCCTGTTGCATTTGAGTTGCTTATTCAGTACTAAATGCTTTTTTTTTTTTTTTAAATAATTTGACTTTTGAAAATGGAAAACAAACATAGAAAACTCATTAGAAATCTTTATATTTGAAATTTGATGAAAGAAAAACTGTTTACTGTGAAACATTTAAATACAAGCATTTGAAAAAGTATGATATATGCTATAATTAAGAGAGTACAAGAGAAGAAAACACTATTTAGAGATGAAGAAAGTGGATGAAAAAAGGTTAAAATGACTGAAGTGAAACATAAGCATTTAACTGATGCTGCTGTTGGTAAGCTAGGCCAAAAGTTCAAAATATCTCAAACAATATACAATACAAAAACAATAATAACAAACAATAAACATAACCAATAAACATAAACAATATAAAAAACAAAAACATAAACAGTCACAAACAAAGAATGTTGAGATATTAAAGGAACAGAATATTGTTTTCAAGAAAAGAATTTCTGCACCCAAGTACACTGAAACAGTTAGAAAATCAAACAAGGTTAGTCCAACAGCTGAACAAAGAGGATCTACATTCTGAAAAAATTCTGGATGTTCTTACAGATGACAGGTCTTATTTTATACTAGATAACTCAACATACAGCAAATAAAAGTTTTTACTTTGAAAAAGGAAAAGACATTATGCTAGTAGTGAAATGAAGTGCACACAAAGTTTCCAGCATTAGTTATGATGTGTACAGTCATAAGCTCTTGCAGACTATCTTGGGCCCTCATCACATCATCTAAACTTTGCATCAACACAGAAGTATATAGTATGGTGTGCATCAAGAAGAAACTCGTTCCACTTTTAAAGAAGCACTATCTGAATGGAGATTTTCTTTTGACTAGATATGGCAAAATTCCACTATGCTCAAAACACAGTTGTTGTCTTTGATCAACATGGGATATGATACATTCCTTGTGAAATCAATGTGTCTAATGTATCCCCAACTGAAACCAATTGAATGGTTTTGGTACCACCTAAAGCAAAATTATATGGTTGTTTAGGAGGCCAATTCCACTACAGAACTACACAAAAGAATTCAGAATAAGCTCCAGACTACAACTGAAGCTCCTTACAACTAAAGACTTCCAGAATCTTTTGAAACATGTGAAAACAAAAGTTGAAAAGCAGCAGACTATAGAGTAGATTTGATTTTGTTAAACTGACAGATTGCTCAAATATGTTTTCTTTATTTGCATTGCTCATTTTTGTGATCCCACAACACCCAACAAGAATAAATTAGTTTTCATATTTCAGATTTTTAGTTTATACATCCTTAAATATTCTATTGAAAAGTTTTCTTTAACTTGGTTTAAAACTTTTCTTATTGCCTTTGTATGCCACTCAAAAATATCTTAATTGAATTTTTTCCTTTCTTAAGCAAATATAATTATTATTATAATTTAAATTTAAATTAAAAATGCAGATTGTTCTTAAACAATTATTTATGAAATTATCATAAATAATTGACTGATTAATATTTAATATTATATGTAATTTAAATATATTGAGTTTATTTTCAGTTGAGCTGTTATTTCATTGTGTAGTTTTTTTATATATGTTTACAGTTATTGAAAAAGAAATCTAAAAATTCAACAGATAGTCAACAAGACACTGTAGAACAATCAACTGTATTTACTGATGAAGATTTTGAAAACTTTGAAAGAGAATATAATTTAAAATAATTGAATTTATCATGGTAATAAAATTTATAAAAAATCAATCATTTTTTGTTATTTCCAAAATTTATTATATTTTAATATGTAATTAAACTTATCATAATTTTAAAACTGTTATAAAAGAAATTAAATTTTTAAATACAGTATAGCATCATTTATCTGAAAACCGATCAACCAAAACATTGGTGAAAGCAAATTCAAATTTCCACTAGTGCTGTGGTATAGCAGCACTTTCCTTCTCCTGCCAACCAGCCTATGTGACCAAACTTGTCACTTGTGACAAATTGTGCTGTATGTACTGTAGTTGTTGTTTTGTTGCAATGGCAACTAAACGTAAACGCATTGTTCTCAGTGTTTTCGATAAAATTAAAATAATAAACCAGTTGAAGAATGGTGCTAGAGGATCAAGCTTAGCTCGGGAATATGGAGTTGGAAATGCCACAATATCGGACATTAAAAAGAATAGTGACGCCATTATAAAATTTTCAAGTATACTTGATAGTGAAGATGGAAGCGTGTACAGAAAAACAATGAAAATGGCAGAAAACCAGGATTTAGACACTGCAGTTTACATGTGGTACGTGCAGGTACGTAACCAAGGACAACCAATAACTGGCCCTTTGATTTGTAAAAAGGCTCTTGAAATAAACAAGAAACTAGGGGGTAATGATGATTTTAAAGCGACTAACGGCTGGCTTATGCGTTTCAAATCTAGGCACGGAATTAGGCACTTTAACATTCGGGGTGAAAAACTGTCAGCTGATACTGAAATAGCTGAACAGTTGAAAGAGTTTTTTAAAAACATGATTGATCAGAAGGTCTACAAAAAAGCCAATATCTACAATGCAGACGAAACTGGTTTGTACTGGAAGAAAATGCCAACAAAAAGTGTAATTTCTAAGAATGAGATGTCAGCACCTGGTTTTAAGGCAAGCAAATCACGCGTCACTGTTATGGTATGCGGAAATGCTACAGGAACGCACAGACTACCTTTGCTAATCATAGGGAAGTCTAAAAATCCACGGTGCTTTAAGGGAATAAAACAATTGCCAGTCATTTACAAGAATCAAAAGAATTCATGGATGGATACAAGCATTTTTATAGAATGGTATGACACTGTGTTTATCCCTGAAGTCAAAAAGCATCAGCTTACAACTGGGAATTCTGGAAATGTTTTGTTGTTGATTGATAGTGCCCAAAGTCATCCCTCAAACATTTCACTGGAAAGAGAAAATGGAAAGTTTAAAGTTGTTTTCTTGCCTCCCAACATTGCGTCAGTCCTACAACCGATGGACCAGGGGGTCATTGAAAGCTTCAAACGTTATTACAGAAAGGCATTGCTACATATGGTACTGATTGGGGAAGAATATGAAAAAACAATTCGGCAAGTGTACACTAAAATTAACTTGAAGGATGCTATGTACATGGCAGCAGAAGCTTGGGCTACTGTCAAGGACACTACACTAGCAACAGCTTGGAATAAGCTCCTACCATCATATGGTTCTATCATTGCACCTGAAGAACCACCAAACAGCCAATTTGTATCACAACTGTTTGGGCTGATTAAAGAACGTTCTGGATTTGAAGAATGTGATGAAGAAAACATTCAAGACTGGCTCAAATGTGATGTCGATGATCGTGGCTATCAAGTATTTTCAGATGATGAAATCGTTGCCAGTATCATTGACAACCAACAAGAGCCTAGTGATGATGAAGAAGAGCCTAGTGATGATGAAGAAGAGCCTAGCGATGATGAAGAAGAGCCTTGCGATAATGACCATGCTGAAAAATGTCCATCCAGTGAGGAAGCTTTTCACTGCCTTGAGACAGCTATAAAGTGGTTAGAACAACAAGAAGAATGTGATGCTGTCCAATTGCTGCTGTCTTTAAAACGTGTGCGAGATTTAGCAGCAAGAAAACGGGACTCAGCTACGAAGCAAAAGACAATTTTGGACTTTTATCCTAAACTGTAGGCCTATTTTATGTAAGGTATGCATTTGTAAGACATGTATATAAAATATATACAGTACAGTTTTGTGTTTAATAAATTTTTTTCTCAAATTATCAGTTATCAGAACAGTCCTGAATTATTTCGGATAATCAATAATTTACTGTAGTTATTTTTTAAGGTGGTACAGTACATTATAATATATTAGTATATCAAACATTGTGAAGCCCAGCATGTATATAGAAACATAACCAAACAATCACCTTAAATAATCAGGCTATAACTCTGCTAATTTAATGATTAATACTAAACTTTAATCCATACTCAGATTCAAAGCATATTGTATATCAAATACACCTTATTATTGAGAGACTTTGTTTATTACATTGAACAAACATTTTCAACCCACTCAATGGGTCATCATCAGGTTATTGATGCTATCCGAACCTTTACACTAGTTCATTTACAATTGTTCTTATCGAATCACTAAGGAATTTGAATTAACTTTTAATTCAAATTTCTTAGTGATTTGATAAGATTAGTGAATTAAAAGTTAATTCAAATTCCTTAGCGATGCGATAAGAACAATTGTAAATGAACTAGTTTAAAGGTTCGGGTAGCATCAATAACCTGATGATGACCCATTGAGTGGGTTGAAAACATTTGTACAACGTAATAAAGAGTCTCTCAGTAATAAGCTGTGTTTGTTATACGATTAATACTAAATAATTTGCTACTAGGGGCAGTTTTAATAAGTTAATAAATAATGGCACCAGTAAAGTTCAAAAAAAATTTTTATATCAATGTTTGCTTCTGGTCCATCAATAAGCACATCATAAAGTTCAAGTACTTTAGGTCTTCCACTCTCTGGTTTGTCAGAAAGACAACTTATGACTTCACAAGCTGCATTTGGTGGCAACCACTTCCACAATAGTCCTAGCTTCAGCTTGCAAGACAGTTGTAGCAACCCTTTTTCCTGCCACAGTGTCTCCTTATATACTATTTATGTCTGACGGTTGGCCAATCATGAGCTGTGCAGGATCGAGTTCTCCATCGTGTCTGCTGCAGCTAGTAGCCAATCTTGGCTTGGTCCAAATTTCAACCATCTCTCTCCAGGATGCATGCATCAATGTTTCAAAATTTGAATTATCGTGTTGCACACAACACCTTATTGACAGCACCTAATGTCTGCCACTAGTAGCAAATTACTTAGTATTAATCATTAAATTAGCAGAGTTATAACCTGATTATTTAAGGCAATTGTTTAATTATGTTTCTGCATAACATATTACTTGTGTTATAATTGTTTATTTTTACTTCATCAAAAAAAAATGTAGTAAATGAAGATTAGTTATGAGTGTTGTCAGTATATTAAATACACCTTAAATTTTTAATTAATTTTAAAGTTAAGTCTTTTTAAAGTTTTCTTTTTATAACCTTCTAAAAATGATGTTTGAATACATTATAAAGAAAAATTAATATGAATTTTTGTTTGTATACCAGTTTTTCATGGAAATCTATGCTGGTATCATAATTAAAGTTATTAAAATAATATTACAGCTGAAATATATTGAAAATAGATTAATTTACAAATGTTTTTATTATTTTATGATAAACTTCATAAAAAGAATGAGTTTTATGTTCTGATGAAGTTCACAAGTATATTGTGAACATCTATGTATAAATTAGAGTATGTAAACAAATTTTGAATAAAAATATAATTTACAAAATAAATTTTTAACATAACAATAAAAGATTTTTATATTTGTTTATATTGTGTTATCATTTTATTTTTTAATTTATTTAATTATGAATAGAAATAAATAGAATTAGTCTTTATTTCTTCATAAGAAAAAATATTGCAGACCCTTTCCTCATTAGACATTCTTCGAATTTTGTTATCTTTAATATTTTTAAATCAAAGGAAAGAAAATGTCAATGATAAACAATATTGCATCCCTTAAATGTTTTAATTCTTTTTAATTTAATTCATAAATTAAAAAGAAAGCAAACCCAGCAACAAGTTGCATAACTTTCTCAGCAATAAAGTTAAAATTATATATGGTGCTATCTGTTATGTGATTTTGTTTTAAAAAATTAACTTTTATATTATTAATTATTATAAAATGGAAAAAAGCTTAACTTTGAAGATAGAGATGAGTTTGATAATAATAAAAATTGTAAATGCTCATAACAAGTAAAATCTTAAGTCCAGTCCTATTCAAGATATGACAAATGACCCCTTTTATCTCCTCACCTCCTCGACCTTTTAATCACTAAAATTTAATAGCATCAATTCCCTTAATACATACATACAAGAAAGACTTCGGCTGTACATGACATGTTTAGCCGGCGGGAAGGAGGGAGAGGAGATAGATAGATAAAGGTAGTATCCCTCTGAATGGTGTATGTATGGCTACAGTATCCTCTATGTTTGATGTTGGCATGCAGTTTGTAGGCTGCAAGGTCCTAGTCTCCCGAAGGTCTAAAAGAAAACTTGAGTTTAGCGAACACCAATAATTGAGTGCCACCATGAATAGCCAAGTGTAGAAGTTAGTTCCAAGTGGTTAGTAGTTAATAGGAAGACTTATATCTACTTAATACTAATAAAACTGAGCACGCGATCACAAATCTTAATACTACTTAACAGCTAGACAGCGTGAAAAGCAAATGAACACAATGACAAACTAGATGAGATGAATGGACCGGACCAACAGAGACAAACGAGCAAGACCCCAAAAAAATTTTTTTTATTTTTATGTATTTATTTATTTGTTTTTTTTTAACATTAACTTCTCACTAACTAAACTAGGGTTTCTCAAATGGAATCACGGTTGTTTTTTTAACCCGGGAAATCCTGCAAATTTCTTAAAAATTCACTTTTTTCTTATTTTGTGTTAAGGTTGAGGAAATTTTGCAAATAGAAAGTATAATTAACTCATAAACTGTCAGAATACATTTGTATTTATTAATTTTAAACCTACTTATTAGACTTTTTAAAATTTTTGCTCGTGGCATGCCACAAATGGTCAATAATCAATACGTAGCTTATTTGTGGCAGGACTCTCAAAATTCTTTACCTGTAATATCTGGAATAATTGTGCTTATGCTGTCTTAATTTTTAATCATGCCCAGTAGCTTCAATAACTGCGTAACGCCAAGTTGTGCAAATTGGTCAAGGATACAAATGAGTACGAAGTCTGCAAGTATGAAGTTTTTTTTCATAACCTGATTATTAAAGGCAAACGAACTGCCAAATTATTGGACTATGATGTTTCTATTAAAGCAGCGAGGTAGACAAATTGAGAATACTAGAGAACAAAAGAAGTACTACAATCTCAAAAACGACCTAAAAATCTTTCAGGATACAGGTGAAAAATGCATATGTTTCTTCTCTTAAATGCATTAAACATGATTCCACTCGCATCAATTGAATTGGAAAGGGCGTTCTCGGTACCAAGACTTTTCATTACTAAAATAAGAATTAGATTGAGTGATCCGAGTATTGACCATCTTTGCTTTTTAAAATCTTATAAAACTTTACAATATTTTGTATTATATTTTATTTAAAAAATTAAAATTACCTTCTAAGTTAGAAGTTTAATCCAAGTTCATTTTTTTTTAAATTTTTAACTCAATTTAAAGCACTTTTTTTGTTGTTGTTGTTGTATGCAGTTTCCAGCAAACTTTAATAAATTTTTTCTATTTGTCACAATTTCTACGTAATTCAAAGGTAATTTTTAATATATATCTTACACATCATTATTAATATGATTTTGGAGGTTACAGAACGTATTAAATTACTTTTAAAAATGAAAAATAATTGTATCATTTGATTTCATGATATTTTGTATATCTTAAAAATAATTAATTTTATCCCGGAATCCCAAGACAAGCAAAAGACCGGGAAATGAGAAACCCTAAACTAAACTAAACCTACCATAACCTAAGATGAATCTAACCAGAGGACTAAAGCTAACAAACCCTAATCTAATTTAACCTAACCTATCATAACATAACCAGAAACCAAGCTAAGAGTCCCTAATCTAACTTATAACTAGGACTAACCAAATTTAGACCAAAGAAGAAGACAGAAAATAAGAATTAAAATACAAATTTGAAAGGCAGCTATATACCTACAGTTGAAACAAAGCAAGAGAAAGCTAATTGCCATCCATGCCCCTGGATTGAGTGCTCTCAAGAGCCCCACTAAGGGATATGAATAGATGATGATAAGGGAATGTGAGTAGATGATGGAACATTGTACATGTGTGAATGAGTTGGTGCAGGTTGCAAGACCAGTTGTACCCTTCAAGAATAGCAGTTCTCATTAAACTTTCTCTGTGATTACACCTATTGCAGCAAAAAACTAAGTGAACTGGTGTTTGGTCCTCCTGAATATCATAATCGCATTATAGATTGTCCCCAAGGTTAAATCTATGCAAGTATTGCATTAAAGTAGCTGTGTTCTGTAAGTAGCTGAGTGAGGGTGTAACTAGGGTAAAAGTGATGATGAATTGCAGTAGTGTCAACCTTGGGGATGAAAGTGTAGGTGAGCCTACCAGTGGTGTCATGGTCTCAGCTGTCTTGCCAGAGAATGAAGATTTCCTTCTTGACATGATTGTTGATGTACAAGGTAGGAATATAACTGAGAGTACAGTAGAGCGTGTAATTGCAATACAAGAATGAAGATTTCCTTCTTGACATGATTGTTGATGTACAAGGTAGGAATGTAACTGAAAGTATAGTAGAGCGTCGATTATCCGAAACGTCTATCATCTGAAAGAATTCCAGTCAGCAAATTTAAATTTTTGCCAGGTCTGTGGCACTGCAATCTTTTGCTGTCTTGGGCTACTCAAATATTTTACATTTTTGATACTAAATTAACTTCTGAAGTATAATTTTTTATTGTTTTTATATTTTTCAATATATTTATTTTGTTCGTACAAAATAAAAAAAATAATTTTTAACGATAAAATAGTCTTCGTTAGGCTTAACATCGACAAAAATTCAATGCAAAGCAACACGCAATGGAGAAAAATGTCAAGATGGGATAAATTAATATATTTTTTCGTACATAATCAGTTATCCGAAACATCGATCTTCTGAACAACCCCATTGACCATTGGCCAGCCTCCTCATCACCAAAGTCGAAGGTGGTATTGTAACGTTGATGGCTCCTCTGACGTGTAGTTCGTGGTAATCGTTGGGTAATCCAGTCCCCAATTGATTCGGATAATCGACGCTCTACTGTACTAGTGACTGAAGACTTTGCATCTTGTTTGGCAATGTGGTCAGTAGTCTCGTTGCCAAGAACCTCCACATGACCCAGACCCATTGGAAATCTATTCTAACGTTGTTGTCTAAGTGTCTTAGAATGTGTTGTATGAGATGGACGAGTTTTAAGCAGCTATCAGACTTCACAATCCTGTGAAAAGCTACCCTACTGTCAGAATAAATGTGATAGTGTAAGTAGTGTGTTTTGTCCTTCCTACATGTAATGTGAATTAAGCTCATATAAATAGCTAAAGTTTCCACCTGTGCTATTGAGTAGTGTGTACCTAGATGGAAGCAAGCATTGTGAAGCTCGTGGCCTAAGTCGGAGTAAACTACAAAAGCGGCACCCACATTGTCATCCATCTTGGAACCATCAGTGTAAATCCTAAATATGGGATGATCACCTGGATCTTCAAAGTAAATATCAAGAGCAAACTGATGGGAAGGGGTGGTAATTGTAAGTCGGGAGGGTATTTTTGTCGATGCTGAATTTTTTGATATCATCGATCAAGGTCAAACTGGGGGGAATTTTATCTACTCTGATCATTTTGTTGACGTCTGAGTTGCTATAATCTCGCCAGGGTAAGGTGATGAGATTTTCCTGCCAAATAATGCATTTAATTTGTAAGTCGATGGGGGTTAACCCTGACATTACCAAAAGGACACTAATGGATGCAGTCCTACAGTATAAGCCTTACAAATGCGGAGAGCTTCAGTCCTTTGAACAGATAACAGTTTTTTATGGTTATGGACTTTGGCAGCCACGTGGCCCCCAGACCTGTATGGCATAGATGAGTGCTGGCTGAATTGCACTCCTGTAAATAAGTTTAGTGGGGTAGTGCCAAGGCTCCATGTGTTCCTAGCAATACTAATGAGGGCATTGGTCATCTTTTTAGCTTTGTCTGTGATGTATTTGATGTGGGGTGTGAAGTTTAGTCTCTTGTCAAGCATAACACCTAAATATTTAATTTTCATTGTTTGGTTTTTTTGTGAGTATCTATTCGAAGGGTAATCTTCCTGACGAGTGGCGCATTCCTACCAACTATCATGCTTTTGTATTTGTCTGTGTTAATGGGTTGCTTATACTTAATACTCCACTGGTGAATATTATTGAGAATGTCATTGCATATATCCTGTCAGCGTTCACTATTCCTGTGGGAAGCTAGGATAATTGTGTCGTCTTCATAGCCCTGTATGTGGCAGCCAGGAGGCAGGGTGTTGTTTAAGTGCAGGATAGTTATAGGCTATGTTCCAGAGACCAGGACCAGACCTGGATCCCTGAGGACAGCCCAAGTGATGGGTATGATTATGTTATTTTGTGTTGTATAAACACCTACATTCCTGTTGCTAAGATAGGACTGAAGAAGTTTGTAAAGATTTTGAGGGCAGTGATGAGAGTGTAATGTATGCAAGGTAGAAGGCAACCAGGCATGATCAAAGGCACTTTTAAAGTCAATAGTGATTATTGCCATTTCTGATTATTAAGCTTAGTCTGGTGGATGGCATCTACAATACCTTTGTTTTTAGAGAAGCCAAACTGATTCTGGTGCAGGGCTCTATGCTTGTGTAGATGCCAAGTAATCCTGTTAATCATTAGACCATCTAACACTTTTCCCAGAGTTGGGAGATATAGTTCTAAGTAAATTGACTGTGATGAAGAGTACGAGCCCAAATGTTAATGAAGGTGTCGCGGAATAATTGCCAGTTAGTGCGAGTATAGTGAAAACTGTGATTATTAGTATTACTAGTAGTGTTCAGTTGGGTGAAGATATATCTATGGTCACTGACAGAATCTATGTCGGTAGTGTAACATTGGTTGACTCTAGGGATGATATGACTGTTTCCTAATGTTAGGTCAATCCAACTTTCCCCTGTGGTACAGAAGTAGATTGGAAGAGTGCTGATGTTCAAGTGAGTAAGGTTGTGTTGGGCCATGGTTTTGTTAACTATGTTACCCTAGGGTCATCTTTTGGACTATGCCAGGTCACAGGCTTGGCATTGAAGTTACCTCCTATTAGGATAGGTTTATCTTTGTATGAGTTCAGGAGGTGGTGAATGTTTTCAATGGCTGTCTCAGTGTTATGGTGTCTAGAATGTAGACTGAACATATGTAAATATGAGTGTTATTGTCTGTAACACAGACAATGGTAATGTATTCTGTGGTGTGTTGAGAGACAAGGCAGGCAGTAATGTTTTTTTGTTCCTGATGATACCAACCTTGATGTGATAGCCAGGGTCCTGAGCTGGATAGACTTTCCAGTCATTGAACCTGACTATCATGTTGTTAATAGTGTAGGGTTCTTAGATCATGATGATGTCTGTATTGTGTTATTAAATTAAATTGATTAAATCAAAGAAACTAACTGTTTCTGCCTGGGAACACTAAAACAGAAACTGGGCTAGCTTAGCCTAACAGATGAAAAATACATGAAAATAAAAAATCTAGCCAATGAGAATGAGAAACTGACTCAAAATCTAAGGAGTAACACAAATATTAACTAAAATGACAAAAAAAAGCAGGAAAAAACACTCAGTAGAGCCCAAGAAACACAAAAGTAGACCTCAGCAAAAAGCTCACCAATACAGGCAAGAAGCAGGCAGAGGAATTTTCCAATTCCCCTAATACACAGGTCTTCCTTCAAAATATCAGAAATTTGAGAAAGGCACAGGAGTTATTAGGTCTCAAAATGGGTAAACAAAATCATGCCCCCACCTACACACACAAACATCCATACATAGAAAATTCCAAATTTTTTTGCATTTCTCAATTGGGTAACATGAGTGTGTCTGGCATCTGTGTTTAAGATGCTGAAGACAACTGCGTACGACCAATAACTGCCATTTCCATTTTATTATACAGTATTTGTGTATTTTATCTATTATTTTCATGATCTTATTTATTATTTAGGGCAGTGGTTCCCAACCTTTTTTCGTTAGCGTACCCCGTGACATGTCATATCTCTAGATTGTACCCCTCATTTAAGAAATTTAGTGAGCAACCGTATTGTTAATTTTACATATTGTAACTTTAAATTAAAGAAAACATGTATAATAAAGTTGTGATTGTTGCAAGAAGCATTTTTTATCTAATAATTTTTTAATACTATTAGTTTGTGATACATAATATATTATTTTTTCTGCCATAATAACTAACTTTTTTCTGTACCCCTAAACAACCTATTGCGTACCCCTAGGGGTACGCGTACCACAGGTTGGGAATCGCTGATTTAGGGCATTTGTGTTATTTTTGCCTTAAATTTTGAGTATTAGTTTATTGATATGGGTTGTTTAGGATTTAGGAATGGATTAATTCACTTTCCGTTATTTCCCACAGGGAAAATTGATCAGACTTTTAACAGTTCAGAATTTGAATGGCATCCTGAAATGAATTGAATTCAAAGTACGAGGCACCTTTCTATAATCAGTCACTTCAGTCTACTGAATTCATTATATAAAAAATTATAAATGGATAATATATCACTAAAAAGATTGTGATAGCTATTGAATGTTATTTTGTGTTAACTTTTTGGTTCATGAAATTATAATTTTAATTATATTACTGTTTTACTTATCATAAAAATAGAAACATTAATAATAATAATTTTTTTTTAAGATTCCATTAAATATAGATGATCCTAGGAGTAGACTTTCAGGTAGCACAGACCTCAAGTGAGTTCAATTACTTTTATTCTAAGCATTTTATTTTTAAAAGCATTCTGATTTTGTTATTTAAATTAGGGAACAACTTAAACAACAAGGAATTGTCATTATTCATCAACATCCAAAAGATGAAAAAGTGTTGCAAACTGAGGATATTGAATTTCAGAAGGCAGTGGAGACAGGCAAACATATTATTGTTATAGAACCAGAAGGACTTGGTGAAATGGCATCTATGTGGATTACTTTTGGAAATTTTTTTCATAAAATGAATATAGTTATGAGTTTAGGAACTATTGCATCTGCATATATTTTCAAAAAACCATATGTTTGTTTCAGTTTGTGTGCATTTACAGTCTTTAGTTCCATTGTATACACTTTAACTTGGCAGTTTGATCCATGTACTAATTATAGGGTGGAAAAAAATCCGAAAAAGAAAGCAAGATTTACAATGTTAGTTTCTAACCAAAATCCAACAGTTCTTATTTTTAAAAAAGATAGACTTAAAAGTTTTGCTCGTCTTACCATGACAATTTCAGCAACTAGTATTTGTCTATGGAACTTTTATAAATTTTATTCAGGAAAAGTGAAAATTTAAATAAATAAGAAAAATAAAAGATTTGAAAGTTCAATTCATTTTATAACCAAATTTAGTTTCAATTTATTTTTTAAATTGAAAATAAAGATAAAAGTGATTAGTTTTATTGGATAAAAGATAATATATAAAATCATCTATAAACTTTAATTATTGTGATTCATGTAATGAGTGAACAAAACTTATAATACGTGCAAAATATTCTGATTGTACCTTATTTAAAGTTAGTGTTTTGCAGTGGCGTGCCGTCATTAGAAGCGGTGGAAGCGCCGCTTCCCTTGTATTTTATAAAAAAATAAATACATATTAATTTTAATTATATGAAAATAATCGCACAATATTTTATTATAACCACATTATGTATCTTATTACAAATTTCTATACTACACGTGATAAAAAAAAT